GGGGGGGGGGGGTAATTGCAGCACGTTCAGAGTGTTAGCCTGAGTGTGTGTCAGGCCGGACTGAGGCTCAGCATGAGCTGAAGTGGACCACTCCTCCTGGATGGGACTTGAGGGATCACCCAGAGATCCAAACAATGGCTTAAGCAGGGTGGGCCCAGCAAGTGGGGGGTGGGGGGGGGTGCCTTCGAGGAAGTCTCTGTGTCTCTCTGCCTGTCGGCTGCACAAGAGGGTTCATTTGGTGTGTGTTTCCAGTGATACCAGTTTCTTCAGGGTGGTTGTGGAGGCCTCTCCCACCCTGCTGTTTGCTCAGTGGAGGTTGAGACAGGCAGCTCAGTGTGGGCTCAAGATTCACACACACTAACACACACAAACACACACACCATCACACACACACTAACACACACATGCAAGCCTTCTTCTATTTCCACACGCTGTATAGTCATATCACCACTGTATCTGCATGCACACACCTGAGCGTCCTCATGGTTGTGTGTGTTTGACGGTGTCGTCTGTCTGTCTGTGTGTGTGTGTGTGTGTGTGTGTGTGCAGGTGTCCTGTGTGGTTTCGTACCCTTGCTTGGTGCAGATCCATGTCATTGTCATGTCTGTCATGTCTGCCCCAACACTTGTGGTAGTCAGCTCCAGTTTGCTGGAGATCTGGCTCCTCTCCAGTTCGTTACCAAAGCTGCTCTCTGTGCTCGTGAGTCTTTTTGTATCTATTAGTGTAAATCACAAGAACGTGTGAAGGGGGGAAATATCGTTTATTTGTTTATTGTTTATAATTCTAACCAACTCCTCAGTGGTTGTAAAAAATTAAATAAGGGTTTTCAAGCTGCTGTTTTGTCTGCGTGTGTGGTCGTCGTCCGTCAGCGCTGTGGTCTGGTGATGGGCAGTTTGGTTTCTCGCTGCGTCTCCTTGTGGTCTGCTCGGCCTGCAGGAGCACGGCTGCCAGAGAGCTGCAGCTGAGGGAGGTGTGCTCTGCTCCTGTCCGCTGTGACAAACAGCTGCTTGCTGCTTAGCCTCATCTTCGCCCAGGCTAAAGGCATATTTCAACATTTTGTGAAGCTTGCGCTCTCCTGCTACCGTGACTTCCATCTTGAAATGCTGAGCTAAACGTCTTCTGCGCTTCACATAACAAACTACTCTTCCTGCCATCATCACTGTTTGTGTTGCACCTGCAGCTCCACGAGGGAGCAACTTGCCCCTTGTTGCTCTAAGAATAGCTTTGTGCCGCTGCAATTCAGGTTACCACTACTTAGCAAGCCGGTCTGGCATGACGAGAGCCCACATCCGAGGGGATGTTTGCTGATCTTTGCTGCTCATCAGGATCTTCATCCATCGATCAGAGCTGGTTCTGGTTTTCTAAGCGGTGTCAAAAACCAGATGAACTAACTGAAGGAACTCTTATCACCCGCTGAGCGGGATCATCTCGTGATGAGAGGGAACAGAGCTGTTTTGGTCAAACTTTCAAGTTTCATTAATATCATTCCAGTGGTTCATGGGATATTTTGCTAACAGAGAAACAGTGTTGAATGTGAGCAAATGGTTTTTAGCAACTGTATAATGACCATCAGCTGCCATCGCACCAAGTTTTACTTTGTTGTTTGTAAAAGTGACTTTTAGCCAGGGCAGCACGGTGGCACAGTTGGTAGAGCTGTTGCTTCTCAGCGAGAAAGTCGCCGGTTTGAATCCCAGCTGGGGGGACTTTCTAGGTGGAGTTTGCATGTTCTCTCTGTGTATGAGTGGGTTTTCTCCAGGTACTCTGGTTTCCTCCCACAGACCAGAAACATGCATGTTAGGCTGACTGGTAACTCTAAATTGTCTCTAGGTGTGAGTGAGAGAGTGAATGTTTGTTTGTCTCGTTTGTCTCTATGTGTCCCTGTGATGGACTGGAGACCCATGTGTCCCTGTGATGGACTGGAGACCTATGTGT